CTACAAATGAGTGGCCAAAGCCAGGAATAACTGCTGTGGGTTGAATTGTATCCCCTCAAAATTCATTTGTTCAAGTTTTAACCCCCAGTACACCAAAATGTAACTCTATCTGGACAGACAGCCTTTAAAAAGATAATTAAGGTAAAATGCAGTCATATGGGTGGGCTCTAGTCTAATATGACTGGTGTTCCTACAAATTAGGACAAAGACAGGCACACAGGAAAGACCACGTGAAGACATAGGTGATGGCCATTTACAAGCCAAGGAGAGAGGCTTCAGAATAAACAACCCTGTCAACACCTTGATCTCATACTTCTAGCTTCCAGAACTGTGAGAAAATAAATTTCTATTGTTTAAGCCACCCAGTTTGTGGTACTTTGTTATGGCAGCCCTAACAAACTAATACAATAAGCTCTTATCCAAGGCCTGGTGAGCTTCGGAAAAGGGAGCAGAGGTGAGAATATCCAGACAACACTCCTCCTGTCAAATGCTTTCCTCAGTGATTTTGCAGTTGGTTCCTCCAAGTTCTCACCTAACACCTCCAGGCTCTTTGTCACGTGGCTTCTCATTTATACTCTAAGTCAATTCACAATTTCTTCTTCACTCACTCAGTCTCTTCCTGGCAATACCTAACTACTTGCTCAGCCTGTTCTTCAGGTTCAGCCACTTCAATGCTGCCTCTAGTACCTTCCCAGATGCTTTTGCCTTCTAACCTTCCACCAGTATCCACTGCTCCAATTCATAGCCCAGACCCACCCATTCTCTATTTTCTCCACATCTGGCCATCAGTCAGCAAGTCATTGGACATGGTCTACCACATCTTGACCCTGGCATTCCTTGGTTCTCACTGCTGTCAACTTCGAGTTTATTCATGCATAGCTGACTGTGAACAGGATCCCACCCCCAGTGCCATTTTGTCTTCAAGAACCTGATCCTGTGCTACCAAGTCTCAAGGTCTTCTGCAAGTGGTCTTTAGATTTGGGAGATTTTAAATTATGGGCCAGTCCCTGTTCTAAGCTCTCTACATATAGCCACTCTTGGTAATCATCACAACACTGCATAAGGTAGGCACTATCACTAGCTGTATTTTACAGATGAGGACTCTGAGACAGAGACATCTTAAGTAACTTTCCCAAGGTTACATGACTAGGAAGTAGCAAAAGTGGTATCTAACCCCAGGCAGTCTGACTTCAGAGCACACGGTCTGCCACCACTTCAACATGCTGCATTTCAGTCCTAGTGCCATCTGCCACCCTCCTATCTCAAAAAGAAAGCCACTACTCCTTTTCTCTCCTCCAATTCCCATTCATCCCTGCCACGTCTGCACTCTTGTTTCCCTATACATCACCTATGTTTTTCAGAAACTTAAAACTTTTTTCCTAGTGCCTGGGCTCTTTCCCTTCTGCCTGCCCTTGAACCTTTGCAGATCCTTTCCTTCTATATGCTGGCGATCATCAGGTTTCTTCTGTTCATTCCCTACCAGACTTTTCTTGAATGATTGCTCTGCTCATGCTACTTTTCTTTCTTCCTATTATACAATTTCTACTTGACTCCTAAATATTGGCTTCTATCTATTGGAACAAAACTTTGAAAATTAACTAGTAACTTCTTAATAAGTACAATAATCAGTTATCATCATCCTTGACTTCTCACTATCATTTAAGCCTCTTAACCCCATCAACCTTCATTTAACCCCATGCATTACACTGACCTGGTTCCTATCTTCCTTCTTTGCAGACAGTTATTCCTTTATCTCCTTCACTTGCCCCTTCTCATCCTCCAGGTTCCTAAAAGTGGATGTACTTCAAGCTTAATCCTCAGCCCACTTACGTTTTGGTGCTAAAATATCCATTAGACTGGTAATTCTCAAAAATAGCATGCATCAGAATCATCTGGATGGCTTATTATAACTCTGAACCCCAACCTCGAAGTTTCTGATTCAGTTTCTCTGGGATTAGGCACAAGCATTTGAATGTCTAACAAATTCACAGGTGAGGCTGATATTGCTGGTCCAAGAACCACACTAGGAAAACCCATTGCATTAGAAATCTCCTTCATTATCATGCTCTGAATTTCCATTTCTTTGTGTTTTACTCTCATATTTCCTTCTCTGGATCTGCCTTCACCCTGAAACCTCAGTCCAGAATATCCAATTAGAGTTATTAGATATTTCTCTTTGGATGTTGAATGACTATCTCAAATGACACAACAAAGTTGAACTCACCATATTCCCCTTTCTCCCCTCTCTGAAAACATTTCTAGGGCAGAAGCTAGTCAGGTAGCAAAATGTGTATAGGATGGAGACTATAACGAACTGGAGAACTCAAGCCCCAGCTGAAAGGGCATCTGCTTTTCGTCTTCAGCCATTGTTACCACGAAGGAACATGATTCCAATTTTGCCAGGCTTTCTGATTTTTTTTAAAGAAATCTGGACTTTTAGGCGAAATTTCCAAGTTTTCAAAGTTGGCTTAGAGTTTTTAGAAAACAATGTGAAGGCCAAACAAAACGGTTCTTCTGGGTAGACTAAGCCTGAGGACTGCCAGTTTGTGACGTTGGCACTAATGTCTTCCAGCCTCTCGTTCTCCTTCAAAATAATATAGGTCCTTCATGGGTAAGCTGCATGTTCTGACTTCCTTGTCCACCAGCTATTCCTCCCAAATCTGACTAGGTGTTGTACTCACAGCTTGCATAAAATCACCTATCATTATTATTATTATTATTATTATTATTATTTTACTCTTTTATGATATTGTCTGTGTGTTCCTCATGAGATTGTCTCTTCAATCAGACCTTGATTTTTCAGAGTTCCAGATAATGTTTTATGCTTCTCTGATCATCGTCAAAATATCCAATATAGAGCTGGATATATAATAAACCTCTATGAAAATCTGGTGATTTTTAAGTAATTTCTATGGATCTGACAGCTTTTTCCAGATCAGAGACACCTACTAATGATTGGACTGCATTTATATACAAATACATATGTATATACCATTAGTTGAGCACCTGCTATGTACCAGTCACTACACAGAACGCACTAGATATTTTATTCCAGATTCTCACAACTACCTCATAAATTGATATTATTAGTCTCATTTTTTAAAGCTTCAAAATTAAAGTTAGATATATTAAGTTACTTGCCCAAATTGACATAGCTATTGAGTTATACTGCTTATATTTAAACTCAAGTGCATTTGGCTACAAAATTCCTATTCTTTCCTTGATATCACACTGTTTTTAATGCACAGTGAACAAGCCTGCTTAAAGTTAGCCCTCTGGCTAGTCATGCGGCCACAAACACATCTGTAAGTCTTTTGCAGATGTTGGACGTGATTAGTCCCCTAAAAGGCAGAAAAATGACCAACATTCATTGGAAATAATATAGCCGGATATTCATCACTGATTGTTAGAACTTACTTCTAAAGAAACTTATTCCCTAAACAAGTTTATAACTTCACAACATGTAGCACATTCTAGTACAACTGTGAATCTAACATCAACTGAATGCATTGTAAAATATAGCTTCGCAGCAGAATTTACATTTGCTGTTAGGAGAAGACATCAAACCTCAGATTCTGAAAATTCTGACATCATCTACTGCCTCAATAGTATTAAGAGAAAATTGCATCAAATGTGCAGCATATGTAAACATTTTGAGGCCATATTTCAGTAGCAGTACAATTCAGCTGTATAGAGCACTGTCTTGGTTTCCACTGTATCTGCCAGCATCAAAGCACATAACCAGGTTCTCAAAACAGTTTTGTGATGGTGCTGTTGCTATTAAAGTAGTAGTCCCTAATCCTGCCATGGGTCACTTAGCTTCACTCTAATTTCCTCCTAGATTTTCCTTGTCACTAGCCTCATCCTCTTCATTCCAGCTCAACTGACATCTTCTGTCTGATGTCTTTTCTCTCTTCCCCAAGCAGCTAATGTCAACTCTAGTTATGATCCAACAGGACACTGAGCATATCTCTATTAGAGAGTGTATTGCATCATCAATTGTATCAATGACAAAAATGTAATATTTTATCAATACTGTATTGTACCTTTTCCTATCCTGATATTGAGGATGAATTCTTCAAGGGTAGGGCTTAGGTCTTATTTATTTTATACCCTTGGCCTTACACACAGGGCTCACTCAATAAATGTTTGTTGGATAAATGAAAAAATGAGTGACTACTGTCTATCAAACCCCTAACATCAGATGAGGCAATCAGGATGGCAGTGAGAGTCAAGTATATCTCAGCACAAATATATCTGCCAGTTTGCAACATGGCAAAGTACATATCCTACTGATAATGACACATCACTTTTTATATCTTATGTTGAGCACATTCACTTCATTTCATTCAAAAAGAGTGTGAGCTATAACATCTCTCTTAGCCAAACTAAGAAATAGTTTTAAAGTCTTTATGGTAAAATGTTTTATGGCGTTATATTATTTTAAACCTACACAGACACTAAAGAAAAAAAACTGACATAAAATACTGAAAGAGGAATTTCATATAGTTTAGCAGTTGCTTTAGCTTTTTAACGGATACACAGTTTTTACTATTGCTATGAGGAAGTGCCTAATGCAAAGAACTTGATGACATATTTCTCAGGGAGATTTGTCTGTAAAAGAATGATAGTCTTGAGCTGTCTGTGGAATCTTTCTGAGCTTCATAACATTTAAAAATGCACTTCTATGATTAAATAATACAAGAATGCCACTGCTTCAGTTAAAAGAATCAGATCTCACAATGAAAAAAGCAGACAAGACCATATGATGTAGAAAGAAGTAGTCCCATGAAGGTAATTTTTATTTTTTTTAAAGCTCACACATACAAAAAGCAGAAAAGGTGAAAATCAAGCCAAACTTTAATTTAAAATAATCATCTTATCCTTAATTCCAAAAACCTATACAAAGTACCCAAGTGGATGAGAACACAGCCATTTTGTCAATCTCTTTAAATTAAATTTTGGGAAGTATATTGAATAAAGCTGTTTTGTGTCACCCCAAAAGATTCAGTCCTTGTAGAACTACAGCAGGAAGCCCGCTGTTCAATGGATATTCAAATAATTCATGATAACATAAATCAATGGTGTAGTCCAAGTACCTATGTGAAGACTATTTGCTTTATAGATTCTCTGTATTATCCATAGTATTTTGGAAGTTGTATGTAAACTAGTTATAACTACCACACCAGGTAAGTGAGAAGACTTAATAAAAGAATGCATGTTAAGTATTCTAGCTTAATGAAAAGCTTATAGCAGATACTCAAAAACAGTAGTTGCTGGGGTGATGCTCAATCTTTCAATTACCTAGTGGTCAGAAAATTCAGGCTGATGTTACAAATAGATTCTGAAAAACATAACCAAGAAAGTGAGGAGACTGCAAAATTCGTGCAATGCTATCTCAATTGTTATCAGTGACTTCTGGTGCATTTGCCTTAACCCATCCCACTATTACTGCAGGTGTAAACAGACACACACCCCTGAGTGCATTCCTTTCATTCCACTGGGGAAAATGTTTTGCATGACAAAGAACAGACCTATGACACTTTTTTAGTCTGTACCACTTTAGAAGGGCATGAGCTAAAGGAAAAATGCAAGAAAAATTCAGCTGCTGCCCACATGCCAGGAAGATTATCATGTCTTCCTATGGATTCTTTTTACCTGATCAATTCTTATTTCATAAAGCTTGAATATATGGTTTCTAACTTCTACTACAAGGCCCCTTATGATGCTCTCAGTGTAATATAATATCTATACTATCACCATCCAAAGCCTTGTTTTCATACTTCCTTCAAACACCTATGACTATGAATCTTGTGTTTAAGCATAGATAATGTCCCATAATACTTAAGGGAAGACTCCATGGTTTATACATATTTATGGTGCCAAGAGTATCTATACCTAGTAGAAAGACAGTAAACATTTGATGATGTGGTAATGTTCCTCCAGGAAAGATAAAATCAGCTGTTCTCTTTCCTTCTTTTTTTTTTCTGTGTGTGAGGAAGATTAGCCCTGAGCTAACATCTGATGCCAATCCTCCTCTTTTTGCTGAGGAAGATTGGCCCTGGGCTAACATCTGTGCCCATCTTCCTCTACTTTATATGGGATGCCGCCACAGCATGGCTTGATAAGTGGTACTTTGGTGCGTGCCAGGGATCCGAACCCGCGAACCCCAGGCCGTGGAAGCGGAGCGCGCGCACTTAACCGCTAGTCACCAGGCTGGCCCCCAAATCAGCTGTTCTTAACTGTGGTGCAAATAAGAAAAGGAGAAAGTTATTAAGGTTAATCACCTACTGATAAATGCATTCTGCTTAATTAATTATACTTCTCCTTTTGTGTGTTTACTTGTGCGTTAAGAGTCCATTACAGACACTATTCACACCAAAATAAACTCTTCATTACTATTATAGTATAGTATAGTATAGTATATTACATTACATTATATTATATTATATTATATGTATAACATTACTCAACTGGGTTGCAGTATCATCTCAGTAAAAAAATCCAAACTTCGGCCCTCCACAATGCTTTATATAACTTATTTATACTTTGTCATATTAGTCAGGCAAGATAGTAAGCTCAATTTCTCTTTCTAGTCTCTATCCTCATCACTCCCCAATGTGAGTTCCCAAGGCCAACCAAAGTTGATTACTGGAAGTTTCTAGAATGTTCCCTGCTATAATGCAATTTCATCCAGCCAAGAATTTTCTTCCTTTCCTCTTGCCTTTCTACTCACAACTTCCTTTTCCTAATATCAGTTTGATAGTCTCCTCCAGACAGATTTCACTCATCATCTTTCTTTTAGCTGAACTAGGAGCATCTCCTCTCCCAGGGCATCCAGTGCTACCTCTGTCATAGCACAATCCCTGCTGTATGGTAAGCACAGGTTTATGTCTGTATCACCCAGCCATTGTACAGAAGACAGCAGAGAATAGGTGTTCAATAAAAGTTGTTGAATAGACAATGATGAGGATATTAATTCCTATGTAAATAATCAGCTTAAAAGAAAACCTAGGGGGCCAGCCTGGTGGCATAGTGGTTAAGTTTGCATGCTCTGTTTCGGCGGCCCAGGGTTTGCAGGTTAGAATCCTGGGTGTAGACCTACACAGAGCTCATCAAGCCATGCTGTGGCGGCATCCCACATACAAAATATAGGAAGATGGGCATAAATGTTAGCTCAGGTCCAATCTTCCTCAGCAAAAAGAGGAAGAGGAAGACTGGCAATTGATGTTAGCTCAGGCCAATCTTTCTCATCAAAAAAAAAAAAAGCAAACAAACTTGAAACTTTTCTGTTAGACCACAACATATAAAATTACTAGAGAAGCTGTGTTTCTTTTCCCTTGTATTAAAAACAGTTTATAAGAATATTAATTAACAGCCTAAAACCAGAAACAACCCAAATGTCCAACAATAATATAATGGATCAATATATTATTGGGTTTATTCAAACAGTGGAATACCATACTATGATGGGAATGACAAACTATAGCTAGAAGCAACAATGTGGATGAATCTCCAATGTTGAGCAAAAGCCACCAGATGGACAACAGTACATAGGATATGATTCCATTTATATAAATTAATGGATTAGAAGACAGAATAGTGGTTATCTTTGGAAGTAGTTAATAACTAAACGGGACATGAGGTGGGTTTTGCAGTGCTGGTCATGCTCTCTTTCATGAGCTGATTGCTGGTTACATGGTTGTGTTCAGTTTGTGAAAATACACCAAGAAGCTGTACACTGATGGTTATTGCAATTTTGTATCATATAATATTTTTCAATAAAACATTCAGCAAATAATAGCATTGGTGGCAGAAGTTAACAATATTTTCTAATGCAGAGGAGCCACATGAACACAGAGCAGCAAGAAATACTTCCCAGCCATCCATTCTCCCAGGAAAGTTTACTGTTATGTTTAAAGTATCTAAAACCCTTCATTTAGAACCATTTGTCACAGGCTGAGTAAAGAAGAAATATACAAACAAAAGTACAAATTAGAAGTGCTAATAAATTGTTGCCAACATATTGGTTTTTATTGTTTAAAGAGACTTTTACTCATATCGAAGGACAGTAATTTGGAAAAAAAACAACCCCAAAACTAAGGCCTCCTGATATAAAATTAATTATAGCAATAAAAATAGTAGTTGTGAGAAGAGGATAACATATGTCTTGTATCTCCATACATATATTTATTTTTTGCAGATAAACCTGATTCTACTGCCAAATGGATTCCCTTTGAAGCTACATGATTTTTCCCAATTGGATTAGCATGAGTTTCATTGTGCTGTGGTTATAGATGTGTATTACACAATGGGAATTCACCTACAAACAAGATGCAATATATTCTACTTAGGAGGTGGTCTCTTGTTCACTTGTCTGAAAGTTAACCACTGGTAAGCCAAAGTAAAAGCTGATATGTTTAGATCGTATGTGCTTTTCATATGCCATAGGAACATAATTGGTTCCACGTTCCTTAACATTAAATGTAATGAAAAGCCACATTTCATGCCCATAAAATTTAAATTCTATTAACAGTCTTCGGCCTACTCCTCACTTGAGTACTGACATTTTAATAAGTTGAGTAGTTTTTCCCTTATAGAAGGAATATATCTCATAAAGTCAGATTTGGAAAATCTAGAAAGAAATGGAAAGAAATTATTCACAATCTCACCACACAAACACTTGCTATGTTGCTTAATTTCCTTTTCTACATATGTTTTTTCTTGTTGTGTGTTTCACATAATCATACCACTTATATAATTTCGTATCTAGCACTAACACTTTTAAGGACTTTCTATATGAGTTTTAAGTATAAGCAATACCAAAACCCATGTCTACAATATAAAAATTATTTCAGTACTGTTAGAAAATTTTAAGAGTGTAGGCCACACATGCAAACAAGAAGGTATGAAAAAAGTAGTGATCCTCACTGGGTGGTTTATAATCTATATACTTACAAAGGAATCTTGGTTATTAATTAATTAATTTTTAAATAATTAATCAATTACTTTTAGTGAATAGTTACCAAGTACCAAAGAATACCCTCAGGAACGTAAAGGTGACAGCTCATTTACTGCATTTCTACTACCTTTTTTTGTTTCAAGTATCATCATTCTAGGGTATGTTAGCATATCAAGAAACTTCAAAAGAATAAAAGTATGGACAGCTGACACATACCAATGTATATATCCACTGGCTGTTTTAGAATTAGTATTGCTACAAGTATCTTTTGAGTTAATATTTATTGTTTCCTCTTGGAAATTATACATTTCTCAAAAAAATAACATTAGAAAGCTCGGAGATCTGTGTGTTTGTATGTGTGTCTTTGTGTATGTGTGCTTATAGAAAGGCCCCTTCCTGCAGCCTTTACAGCAAGGTCACTAAGAGAAAAGATTTAATCTTGTCTGAGAAATAACTAATTTTTATATTTAAAGTTGTCGATACACTGAGAGAATTCATTCATTGCACGTAAGTGACAGATCTTTTAAAGACTCAAAGGAATCTTTTAAACTATGCAACTTCAATTACCTATGACCGTATATGAGTATTTTTAAGTATTTACTATTAAATTGCATTTTAAAAACAAACAGACATTATAAAAACTTAAAATATGCATCACTCTTTGACGTCATCTTCTATTTTGTACTCAAAAGGTAAAAGTTTGGGATTAGTCATGGATTTTTATTTTTACTTTTAGTTTGTTTATATCCAAACTCTGTCTTTTTTATTTGTGTCATAATTTATTAAAATTCAGAATATTAACTTTATTATCATTAAAATTAAAA